GGGACAGAACCGGGAGATACGGAGCAGCCGCCCGCAGAGCCAAATAATGATAGCCGCGTCGCGCCAACGGTAACAGGAACGGCAGCGGCGTTGGCGGAGGTAGCGGCAGCAGGGGCGACGACACATGCAATCAGGACGGCGACAGTAGGTGCCAGGCGATCTGCGAGGCTTAGGGCTATCACCTAGGGACCATCACATAACGGTCGCATCCCTTGGATACCGACGGGGCGCGGAGGATCTATCGGCGCGGCAGGAACCACGGGTGTTGCCGGTCGAGGGCGGCACGGAGGCACACACGAAGGCTTCAGGGGAAGGCGGGAAGGGTGCAACTCGTTGCCTAGATCTGAAATCCCGTTGCAAACAGGCACTTGGTGGGAACGCCACAATAGACCTGAGAGGGCCGCAGATGCCGCGAATGAGGATCGTGAGGAGTCTGACAACCAGTTTTCTGACCCCGAGTTTATGGGTGGTCAGGAGGAGGCGTCCAAGGAAATCTTGCTGGATGAGGAGCCAACTGCTGTGAGAAGCACCCACACTGGCCAAGAGAGAGCAACCAAAGGGGACGCCCCACATATTCCACCGTGCGAGGAGAAGATGCCACTGAGCAATGCTTCACCTATCGCCGGCAAGCTTGCGGAAAGTGGACTCCGCTGCAACATCTCTAAGTTATTGACGTGGATGGCTTCAGCTGTAGCAGAGACCGACGAGCTATCTATGAAATTAGCTGCCAATCCGGAAGGGATATGGGTCCTTGGCAGTCCCATCGGCAACGGTGACTACTGCACCAGCCAAGTGAGAGCATCACTGGAAGAATCAGCGTCTCCACCCCCCCTCATCAGCAGGCTTCACTTGCATTCGACCTTACTGATTCTCTTCTGTGGTATTTCACGCTGAGTCTCCTATCTGCTCAAACAATACCAGCAACTGCCCTTGGTCTGGAGGAGTGGAGGGAATGGAGTGAGGCACTAGTGGGTTCTGCCCTCACAACGGCAAAGCTCCGCATCCCAACGTCAAAGCTGGAGCAGAGCCTCTTATGGCGACAAGCGACTCTACCCATTCGGCTCGGCGGTCTGAGGATTATCGATCCAATCTCAGAGGCGCCTGCAGTCTACATAGCATCAGTGACAGCGGCGCATACCCTCCTGCACCACCTGACCTGCCACTTGACTCCTCTCCCATGACTGGTCCCCACCGCCGCCAAAATTAACCCCCTGACCCCCTTGGAAGAGTGCCTCCCGGCCCAAGCAAAAACAGCACTTAGTCACTACAGGATGGAGAGAACAGGCTTGGGCAGCCTCCAGCTGTGCCACTCCAAACTGATCAACGAGCAGCGGGCAGCAGATCTCCTAGGTGAAACCGTTGTGGATAGGCCCAGCAGGAACAGAGGCCACGCGATTCGGCTCATTAGTCTAAAAGGGGCTGGGGTAGGCGACTAGCTCCACGCAGTTCCAACGAGAGCTGGCCTTACCATCTCCCCTGGTCAGTTCTCCTTGGCCCTAGGCCTCCACCTAGGCATGGAGCTTCCAGTCGCTGAGGTCTGCCCTTGCAGATGACAGGGCTCAGCAATTTTAGATAACAGCTTTCCGAACCATCTGCTACATTGCCAGGACGGGGGTGATGCGGTTAGGACCCACAACGCAATGGTTTATGTGGTGCTGCGTATGGCGAATGAGGCAGGTTTCAAGACCTTCCACGAGACATCGGCCTTCTCACCACCGGTAGGGAGAGGGTAGACCTAGCAATCCGGGATCAGGAGTCAGGGGAGACTTGGGTGACGGAACGGTGACAGACCTTGTATTGTAGAACAGAGACCCTAGGGCGCGCAGGCCGCCTGGTTGGGCTGCAGAAGAAGCCCCACAGAAGAAACACCGACAGTATGAAGGGCGCCCTAGATATGCTGGTTTCTTTGGGCTCGTGGTGGAGACATATGAAGCAATGGCAGCTGACACCCTACAATTTCTCCGGATGTTGGCTACCAATGTTGCAAAGACAAAATTTAGGCTAGGGCGGCTCACCACCACTGCTGCATGGCTCACGGTGCACTACCGTCAGAGATGGCCGGTGATGCTGCAGCAGAGCCAAGCTATTTCCCTTCTCTCCAAATCTAACCATGCAGCAGAAGCGGCTTTCCCACAGGCAGCAGCGGACCCTTGGGCCCCACGGTTGGGAGAGCTCTGGCAGATGACGCAGGATGAGTATGAGGAGCGTGAGGCTCCTGCCAGAGCAGCTTAGAGTGGATGAGAGGACAGCAAGGTGGTGACAGGAAGAGGGTAGGTAGCTGCAGGGAGAAGGACTAGGGTCTGTGGGACAGTGGTAAGGGGAGAGCGACATGGCAGAGGGAACGTTGGGGCTTTGGAGACTGGAGCTACCGTGGTCTGGTTTGATCGAGTGCTTGCTTGGTGATCAGTGGGTATGTGTCCTCCATGCTTGCTTTGCTTACGTGCTTGCATTGCTAGCTCTCTCTCTCTCTCTCTCTCTCTCTCTCTCTCTCTCTCTCTCTCTCTCTCTCTCTCTCTCTCTCTCTCTCTAATGGTCCGTATATTGATGAACCAGGAGGGTACAAGCATGCAATGGAAAACAGAAAAGTACTAACATGCAAGGAAGCCTAGACTAACATTCCTGCTAAGTCCCCTAGAGCTCAAGAATGGGCTCCATAACGGTAAAACAATCCCCTAGGTACAATTCCTGCCCTATTCCACCTACAGGCGGTTTCTCTACAACAGCCGCCTTGTCAAGTTTGAGCAGGTAACCCACTGATTGCACCCTCTATAGGGCAACTGACCACCTCTGCCTGAACTGGTGCAGAAATTTCGTGGCATGGAAAGATTTAGAGTCGGCTTTGAAGTAGCGCCGAGCCGCCGTGTCTGCAAGGAGCTTCAGGAACACAGCACCTCGGCGCACGGGCAGCCGTAGGTCTCTACTGCTAGCGGGAAGAAGCCCACCGTCTCTGGCCGGTTGGCATAGTGCTTGATTTTCTTGTCAGCCTGCTCTCGTGCCACCCACCCCCGGCCTTTTTGTGCCTCTGGGTCCCTAGTACTGATAGGGTCCGTGATCGTCACATCACCCACCCAGACCGCCCCACTGCTTCTATCCGTCATGGTAAAGTCAGCCATCTGCTCCTCAATAGGGTAGTAAACATTGGACTCCCTGTGAACGATGAACCCCGCGTCTTGCGCCATGCTGATGCATGCGTCTTGCAAGCTGTTGTAGGTATTAGTACGATATTTACCAGTCCCACAGTGGAAGAGGTGATTGGGGAGGTGCGGATCTGTGATAGCAGTGTGTTCCGTGCAATCGCAGTTCTTCGGTGTAGAGAAGGGGAGTCCCAGCCGGAAACACACCGCATTGGCAAAATGTACCGGGCCTATGCGTCGTGACGTGGCTACTGGGACTGCCGTCAACTAGTCCCCTGTGCCATATCCGGTGAGTGAAAACATCCTCTGTGTGTGGCCGTAAAGTGGGTTCGGCTTCATGCGTCTCGTTTCCTGGACTTGCACGGCGTACCTACTACCCTGGACTTTAAGGGCTAGGGTGTGCTGGAGCTTAATATCGAGCGAGAGAGCCTCTCCTTTTCGAGTATTTCGCGTGTGTCCGAAGGCATAGCCAATTCGGAATGAAGCGGAGTGTTGACATCTCGGGGCAGTATCATGTGGCTGTGTGCTCGTGTCAAGGCAGTGTCCGGTGCTAGCGTGAGGGAAGAAAAGAATAGCGCCGCCTGTGTGAAGCTGGCTATAAATCTATATATGCCTTCTACCAGTGGGTCTGTGATGCCTAGCCCCCCTTAGGGACAATGGTAGCGACGCTTGTGCCCAAAATCTCGATTGCTCCGTCCTACACGCTAGGACTCTAATTCCGCATGACGTAAGGAGCGCGGCCAGGAGGTCTCTTCCCCACTGTGCCCAGGTATCTCTTGGGAGAAGGTTCAGCGGTGTAGTTCTAGAGAGGTAAGCTACACGTCTGAAAATGCAGCGGGTGAGCACCAGGGAGGCTACTTGGGGGTCGGCTCGTTCTAGGAGCTGCAGCAGCTTTGCCATCTCTTCCAATTGCCCTGCTAGAAATTTGCGGCGCCAGTGGCAGGCCCCAGGTAGCTACCGAGTAAGCGCACCCCGTCCTTGGAAAACGGGACCCCCGGCGGCAGCTGCATTTTCTCGTCGCCGGTTGTGCTCCAGGCACCACATTTTTGCGGATTGTGTTTTAGCCCCAGTTGTGTCAGCTTGCTAGTGAAAGGCGTGAAGGCTACTAGGGTGTCCTCTTCGTCGCCCAAAAACGTTATGTCATCTGCATATGCTAAGCAGAGCATTTCAGGGTGTGCCTCTGCAGTTTCGCGGAGAGCCGGGTGTATCCCTGCTGCGAACAGCAGTGGGCCGAGTGGGTCCCCCTGCCTGACCCCATGTTCACTGTTCAGCGGGGGGCTTGCAAAATTTACGTCTAGGTATAGCTTCGTCCGAAGTTCGTCCAGGATTGCAGGGCCAAGCATGCAGACCGGGGTTGACTCGAGGGCCAGCACGGCGCGGCGTAGGCTTCCGCGCTTTGCCTGGCCCTCCGCCCTGCTGAGTACGCCCGCCTCGTCAGGTTGGTGACGTGGAGGTGGTGGGGTGTTGATGGCTTCGATCGCGTCTGAATACAACTGCTCCCATTCGCCATGCTGGAAGGATCGAAGCCGAGCCTTGACCTCGGGCCGCTTCGGTCGTCTGGGTGATGATTGGCGAAGTGTAAGTCGCGGGAGAAGAAGTAGGAGTCGCCAGCCTGCGATCGAGTCCGGGTTTTGCGATAGGTGGAGGAGGTGGGTGAGTAACGCCAGTGAAAACAGCTGACACAGATTAGGCGGTAATTGGCGTGACAGGGATGGCTGACAACTGTCGCATAGTGCTGCAATGTCCCAATTAGCGATGGCCGCGAACAGGTCTGCTTGCTTCGCTAAGTCTTCTGGCGAGTAGTAGTGGGGGGAATGTGGGTGGTTCAGTGTTGCGGAATCGTCGCGCGCTACTCGATTTCTCGGTATGCGCCTCGATGTTGCGTTCTATCTGGGGGTTGGAATTGCAGCCATCCGATCGGCAGATAGGACTCCTCCTACCTCCCCCGTCTCGTCCCCAGCAGCATCTTGTCTCCCAAGCCTTCACCTTACAAAGTGTGTGTTTTCCTCCTCCTCACTCTCGCTTAGTGGCAGCGGTTCTTCTCTATATGTAGGATCCGCTCTCTCGTCAAGGTCATTAGCTGCTTCGAGTGTTGTTAAAGCCAGTCGTCCTGCTGCATGGAATCCGTTCTCCGGTCCCCCTCCCGCTCTGCTTGCTGCTACGCGCCCTCTTCCGCATCCTTCTCGTCACCGGGATGGTGATTGCTAGAGGGCCCAAGTATTTGCCAGTGCGCGCTGGCGCTGCGTCGGCTGTGTCCGAAAAACCGTCGACTACGTGCGAAACGGAGACCACGGCGATGAAACCCCCACTGGCGCCTACTCCAAAGCCCGTAATATCAACCGCTGGAAACCTTCCTCACCCCGAACCGTCACCTCACGAGGTAGCGTCTCAGAATGGCAAGGGCGGTCATCATTTTCCAGCACCGTCGGTGTCTCCCCTCGTCCTGCCATCTGCGGTGGTGGCTCCGCCTGGCGCTCCTTCTGCTATTGCCCTTGCCGCTGCCCCTGTGGGCGTCGCGCAGGCGGTTGTTGATGGCGGCGAGGTGGTGCAATCGGTGGAGTCCGCCACCACTGACGTCCCGGGCCAGGGGGCGCTCCCTGCCGCTCCTGCTCTTCCAACTCCGGCGACACTCGTGCCGCCTCCGCCCGTGCTGGCAGGTCCCGCTCCTGCGCCGCTTGTGGCTGCTCCCCCTGCTCAGCGTCGGCTGTCTCGAGGCCGCCATCAGCAGCGGCCTCACTCCCCTGCGCCTCGTGACGAGCGGGAGACGTCAAGGCGGCGCCACGAATCTCCTCGGCGCCGCGGTTCCCAGGCAAACTGGGCAGCTCCCCGCGGCAAGCGTGGAGGCTGGTGGGGGCAGCGCCATCACAGTGGCGGCTGGGCGCATGATCAGCTGGCGACGATGGCAAAATTTCCAGTGTGCTGTTTCTGCTACGGTGCGAGGGGAGCGGATTGGGCAGGCGAGCCAGAGCCACTCGCCGCGTGTAACTCCGACCTAGGAAAGTGACGTCATCCGCGTATGCTAAGCAGTGTTGTTCAGGATCCGTCACTTTGAGAACTTACGACGAACTCATTTCTCAACTAAACGCAAATCCGCTCGGTAGGAAGTTGCGCCTTAAGCTTAGCTACCATCTCCAAGTTGAATCAGTCGTTAAGATGGTCTAGAGAGTGAGAACCATGTAAAAACGTCCAGCAGCTGCATGACTAGAGTGGTGGAGGAAGTACAAACATTAGAGCATAGAAAGTTGGAGTTGGGGACTCCAAGAGAACCATGAGAGGGAAGGGGTTCTCCAAGAGCTAGGGAAGGATGGTAGGAACCTTCCTAGCAGCAAGGATGCAACCCTCATCATGAGGTCCTTGAGGTGTCACATGCAAAATCCAATCTAGTTGGATTTTGCCTAGGTGTTGCAACATTTGCAACCCATGCTAGAAACTTCTAGCCACCCCAATCCAAAAGTCAAGGTTGCCTTCCCTAACCACACAACCAAAGATCCCTTTATAGTCATGTCCCAAGTAATCACCCAAATTAGATATAACCCCAAAAGGTAATAAGAAATCCAAGTCTTGGAAATCTTGTAACTTGGGCGATCTTGGTCGGAATAAGGTGATCTTGGTATCGTTAGAAAGCTCTGGATTTCTCCTGCATGATCAAGCATTTAGACTTGGAGAAAAACACAGAGATGAAAATATCCAACAGCCATGCACAATGACATATGCTCATGCAAACAATGCACGCATGAATAGCACGAGCACTCGGCAGGACGTTAGGATGACATGCACTCAGAATGACGTGCATCCAACAAGCAGAGTACGTCCGGATGTGCCTCAGCCGTTTCTCGGAGTGTGGGGTGTATTCCCACCGCGAACAGTAGTGGTCCGAGTGGGTCGCCCTGGCGAACCCCGCGTTCGCTTTTTAAAGGTTCGATGTTGAAGTTAGCATCCAGGTGCAGCAGCGACAGGTTGCCGTAGGTCAGTTTGACTAACGGCAGCAGTGGCGAAAGGCCAGGGTCCTGTAACGCTGTGGCGATGGCTTGTCGTGAAATACTGTTGAATGAGCTCGAAATGTCAGTTTGGAGTACCAGACTGTTGGGACGGGCATCTAAAAATGCACGTGCTGCGTGGATGACCGCCTCCGCTCCCCCTGGCACCACTACACCGTATTGTAGGGGTAGGAAATACTCGCGCGCAGCTTCTCCCATGGCTGTCAGGGCAGCCTTGGCCGCCAGCCTAGTTGGATATTTGCCTATCGTGATTGGCCGGGCGCCCCCTCCTGGTTTGGCCAGAGCGATGAGTCGCGACGCCGTCAGCAGGTCGGCCACCGAGCCTGGTAAATTTCTCCCAGCATTGTATTTACCAAGGCGTGCAGATGGGTGCTGACCAGTGCGTTGGTTACGGCCGCGTCGCGCAGGTGTTCGAATGTCGTGCCAGACGGCCCGGCCCCTACTCCGTTGTCGCATCTTCCCAACATTTTTGCGAATTCAGCGGGGATGATGGTCAACTTTGACCCACGTGTCTCTGGCCAGGTCGTCATCGCGTGTGCAGCTGGCGGGTGTTTTTGGCGAAGTTCGTCCAGGATTTCTGGACTAGGTGTGCAGACTGGAGTTGACTCCAGCGCCGACACAGCACGTCGGAGACTGCCGTGTTTCGCCAGGCCCTCGGCTCGACTGATGACTCCGGTCGCGTCGGGCTGGTGTCGTGGCGGTGGAGGGGTGTTGACCGCCTCGACTGCGTCTTGGTACAGCTGCTCCCATTCGCCTCGCTGGAAAACTCGGAACCGAGCCTTGATCTGGGGCCAGTTCGGGCGTCGGGGTGAGGTTTGGCGAAGTGTAAGGTGCGGGAGAAAAAGCAGCAGGCGCCATCCAGCTTCGGACTCTGGGTTCCGTGACAGGTGGAGTAACGGGGTCAATAGTGCCAGCGAGAACAGCTGGCACAGATTTGGCGGTAAACGCCGTGACAGAGATGGTTGTCGACCGTCGCTCAGTGCTGAAATGTCCCAGTTCGCAATGTCAGCGAACAAGTCTGCTCGCTTTGCCAGTTCGTCAGCTGAAAAATAGCAGAGGTTTGGGGGGGTCCGGCGGGCCGCTGAATGTGCATTCGCGCTTTGATTTCCTCGTGCGCGGTTCGCCCCCGTGGTCGATGGGAAGGTTGGATTCACGCCCGTTTGATCGACATCTGACGGTCCCTGTTCTGCTTCCTAGCGATGCACGGCCTCTTCTCTCATCCCCCTTGTTGTCTCCCTCGTCCCGTCTTCCTCCCCTGCGTCCCCATCTTCACTCGCTGGGAGAGACTCTTCCCTATAAGTAGGATCTGCATTTTCTTCATCTTCATTAGCTTCTTCCAAGGCTATTAAAGCCCTACGTCCCACCGCTTGGTACCCGTTTTCTGGTCCTCCGCCCGTCCCGCTAGCCGTCTATCTCGTAGCCCCGCGGTCTCCTTGCTCTCGGGATGGTGATTGCCGGCGCGCCTGAGCCGTCGCCAGAGCTCGCTGCCGCTTGGTCGGCTGTGGTCGCCAAGCCCAAGTTGGAACCCGAAAAGGCGACCACGGTGATGAAGCCCCCTCTCCCGCCTGCTCCGAAGCCCGCGTCAGCAGTCTCTGAAATGCCTCTTCCCCTCGCACCCGAGGCTCCTGGTGCCGTGGCTGCCCCTCTCCAGTCTGAGCCTGTTGCTGCTCCCTCTGCTCCGGCTGCTGCTCCTGTTCCCCGGGCTCCTGTTGTTGATCCGCCAGTATCTGCGCCTGCTGGTGTCGTTGCTGATCCCCCGGTTCCTGTCCCTGGCGCACCCGTTGCGCCGTCCGCTTCTGCCCCCGCCGAGCCTGCTCTGGCTTCTGCTTTGTCGCCGAAGGCGGAGTTCGCCACCACTGGCGTCCCGGCTCCATCGGTTTCGCCTGCAGTGGTGGGTCTATCTGCGCCTGCTGTGACGCCGATGGCCCCGGCAGGCCAGTCGTCACGTCCCCCGTCACCCGACCGTCGCGCGTCTCGGCCCCATTGACCCGCGCCCCACCCGGAGCGCAAGTCGTATCGTCGCCGGCGCGACTCTCTACGACGTTACCAGCAGCAGACGCACTGGCCTGCTCACCCTGGTGGTCAAGGGGACTGGAGGGGTCCCCGCGGGCGTGGCGGTGGTGGGGGGTACCGCCCGTCTGTGACAATGGCGGATCTACAGCGGGAAGTCTCGAGGGCGGTACGTGAGGAGAGGGCGGCGCAGAGCCAAAGTAGTTCGATGTGCGCCTCGCCAGCCCTTGAGGCTCCTTGACAGGCTGTGCTCCCCTTGAGTCCGCCTCCTGTCGCTGCACCCCCGCCTCCGGTTCACTTCCCGCCGGCTCCTGCTCCTGCCGCCTCGCCACCTCCCCCCGGTTCGCGTCTTCATCTGCCGCCGGTTCCGCCTGTTGCGGGAGTGGAGTTTGTTGCTGCGGGTGGTGGCTCGTCGACGCAGTATTCTCGCCACGTTGCTGCGGATGAGCCACTTCTGTTCCTAACGGAGGCACTTCAGCCTCCGCAGACGCGTGTTCCCGAGGCAACGCTTGGCCAGCTCCACCGACTCGTGGAGAGTCTCCATGTGTTGCTGCTGATTCAAGTTCTTGCTCACTCGTCCCTCCCCGCGGTTCCTCCAGAGATTTTCCACGGCCGCCAGCGTGACACGTGCTTGGACGCGGCGGACCGGCTCGCAGCGTTCTCTCTCTCTCTCTCTATCTATCTCTCTCTCCTCTTTCTCCCGCTTGGTTAGGAGAAGCAAATGAAAAGGAACTGAACAATGAGGAGAGTGAGCCCCTAAACAGGGCTATATACTAGGTTGGAGAGGGCTGGAGAGCCTAAGGACTAGCTCCTAGGGCCTCTCTCTCTCTCTCTCTCTCTCTCTCTCTCTCTCTCTCTCTCTCTCTCTCTCTCTCTCTCTCTCTCTCTCTCTCCTCTGTCTCCCGCTCGGTTAGGAGAAGCAAATGAAGAAGAACTGAACAATGAGGAGACTGAGCCCCTAAACAGGGCTATATACTAGGTTGGAGAGGGCTGGAGAGCCTAAGGACTAGCTCCTAGGGCCTCTCTCTCTCTCTCTCTCTCTCTCTCTCTCTCTCTCTCTCTCTCTCTCTCTCTCTCTCTCTCTCTCTCTCTCTCTCTCTCTCTCCTCTCTCTCCCGCCCGGTTAGGAGAAGCAAATGAAAAGGAACTGAACAATGAGGAGAGTGAGGCCCTAAACAGGGCTATATACTAGGTTGGAGAGGGCGGGAGAGCCTAAGGACTAGCTCCTAGGGCCTCTCTCTCTCTCTCAAGCAGTCCTTTATTGATTTGGCATATAACAGACAGGCATGATAAGGTCTAGTTCTAAGCAGTGGTCGTCCTAGGCGTGTAAATAGGGGGACGTGGGGCAAGCAAGCATGCAAGGTCGGGTGAGCAAGCATGCAAGAAGACCAGCCTGCCTTGAGAACCTGCTGGAAACCTAAAGTGCCACCTCTAGGTCTCGCTCCCCTGTCTCCCACACCTCCTCTTCACCACTGCCGCTAGCCCCTGTCACCCCTCCTCACGTCTCTCCTCTGGTCTATCTCTAACTATCCCTCGTAGCCCCTCAGCCCCCTGCACCGTCCTCCAGCACCTGCCACAGGTCCCCCAACCTCGGCTCCCATGGGTCCGTGGGTGCTTGTGGGGAGGAGGCCTCTGCTGCCCGGTTTCACTTTGTGAGTAGGCTTGTTGCCTGGCATCGTTGCAGCATAACCGAGAAGCGTTGGCGGTAGTGGGCATTGAGACGCGCCGCTACTATCGTCTGTGGGCCATGGCGGAAGCCTCATTTGGCCGCATTGGTGGCTAACATCCGGAAGAATCTGACGGTATCTGCCGCCAACGCGCCGTATGTCTCCACCGCTAGTCCTAGGAATCCCACGCACGACGGCCTTTCCTCGTAAAGTTTGTGCTTGCTGATGCTCGCCTCCTCGGCCGCCCACCCTGGTGCCCTAGTAGCCCACCTGCCTCTACTCATTTGTCAACAGCTCCGAGCAGTAGTACCAACATACCCCAAATGGAGACGCACCTGCGCTTATACTGTACGGTACAAAACACTTCCCGTTACTCTATTACGTAACACCAATTTGCTTCTATTCAATTCAACTCATCAGTAGTACTATTTACCTCCTCTTGCGCGTCTTGCCGTCTCGGCAAGCCGCCACAGTCTCCTCCACTAGCTCTCTCGCAATCTCTTCAAACTGCAAGCTAGCATCATTCGCCACTCGCTGTGAAAGCCCCTCAAACCGCGAGTGAGCATCCTCTAGCAACTCCCAAAAGACTTCATCTCACTCATTCAGCGAGCATCCTCTAGCATTTACCTCCTCTTCCGCTTCTTGTGATCGCGGCAATTTGTTTCACACTCTTCCATCACCCCTCTCGCAATCTCCTCAAACTGAGCTGTAGCATCCTCTGCCAGTTTCTGAGAAAGCTCCTCAAACCGCATGTAAGCATCATGCAGCAACTCCCGAGTGAGCTCATCAAACTGAATGCACGCGCTTCTCACCGCAGCACCCATCGCTGCAGTCAACCTCTCGCCCAACCTCTCGCCCCGCCTCTCGCCCCGCCTCTCGCCCCGCCTCTCGCCCCGCCTCTCGCCCCGCCTCTCGCCCCGCCTCTCACCCAACTTCTCGCCCCGCCTCTCGCCCGAAACCCCTGCGCTCGAATCCTTTCCACCTCCTGTGAGTCCCTCTGCTCCCCTCCTTGGAATTCTTCTCTCGTTCCGCTCTCGCTGATCCCTCCTACCATCCCTATCTCGCTGCTCGCTTCTACCATCCCCTTCACGCAGTGAGACACCCCCAGAAGTCAAATCACCGGCTGGTGCTGCTGTGCCTTGTCTGTGGGTTGATGCCGGTTCATAACTCGCCGGGTGAAAATTTGTAGCAGGAAGTGGGGCTGTGGCAGGCAGGGGGGCTGTAGCGGGCAGGGGAGGTGTAGCAGGCAGGGGGGATGTAGCGCCAGCAGCAAACGTAACCCTGTTACCAGGCACGCGCAACATGCTGTTGCCTGATGCACCATATCCCCTTGCCTGATGCGTCGAGTCCTTATGTCCTTGCGTCGAGTCAGAATATTTTCGCATGATGTCAAGAATCGGATCTGTGGCGGTGGGAGCAGGAACCGGAGCGACTTTGTTACGTAGGCTCCGCAAATAGTTGTCGGAGGGTTGCCTTGAGTCTGAGGGTTGCCTTGACTCAGAGGGTTGCCTCTGCCTCTTAGCAGGTGCAACGGGAGAGACAGTGGGTGGCGGTGCTGCTGGTAAAGGGAGAAGCGCGAAGGGTGAAGAGAACGGTAGAAATGGGAACGGGAACGGGAATGGCGAAGCTGATGGTGATAGTAATGGTAATGGCCCGTTGTATCCCTGCTGTTGCTGCTGCTGCTGCTGCTGCTGCTGCTGTTGTTGCTGCTGCTGCTGCTGTTGTTGCTGCTGTTGCTGCTGTTGTTGCGGCTGTTGCTGCTGTTCTTGCTGTTGTTGCTGCTGTTGCTGCTGTTGTTGCTGTTGTTGCTGCTGTTGTTGCGGCCGTTGCTGCTGCTGCTGTTGCTGCTGTTGCTGTTGTTGCTGCTGATGTTGCTGCTGTTGCTGCTGTTGCTGCTGTTGTTGCTGCTGCTGTTGTTGCGGCTGTTGCTGCGGCTGTTGCTGCGGCTGTTGTTGCGGCTGTTGTTGCTGCTGTTGTTGCTGCTGTTGTTGCTGCTGCTGCTGCCCCTGCTGCTGCTGCTGCTGCCCCTGCTGCCGCCCCTCCTGCTGCCCCTGCTGCTGCTGCCCCTGCTGCTGCGGCGGCTGCTGCTGCTCCTGCCGTTGCCTTACAGTCTCTCCCCATCTTGAACCAATGCTCTCAGGCTGCTTCCTTGCCGTAAACACCTTTGCAGCAGCAGCAGCAGCAGCAGCAGCAGCAGAAACTCTACCTGCTCTTCTAGCCTTTTTGGCCGCCACATATTTCCTCGCCTGAAGCTCAGTATCATAGAACAGTCGAATGTACCCAAACCATGCTGGTTCTGGCCCCGGTCCCCATGCTGATTTTTTCCCACTCCACCATCCCCCCCTGGGCCTTCCCCTCACCTTTGCCTTCGCCCCTGTGTTCCCCCCTGATTCGTTATTGGGTTGCTCATCCGCGTTAGTAGACCCTCCCTGCCGCTGCTCAACTGAGCCCCCCCCCGCCTGCTGCTCCGCTTCCCCCGACGGCATCCCCTCCGCGGGGCACCGCCCCGTCTCCCCCCGCTTCCGCCGCCGCCGCTTCCGCCGCGGGTCGTGCGTCTCCGCGTCGTATCGCGCTTTCATACGCGTCCACTGCTTCGCCATCGCTGTCGGGATGCGCCGCCATTCGGGGTTCGTGAGCCGGATCGCGCGCCACACCTGCCGCCAGTACACGTCCCCCCTGCCGCCGCTCCGTATCGTGACTTTCCCGCTGTGCCGGCAGAAAACAACAGCAGCTGCGAGCTCCATCAGCTCCGCATCGCTCCACTGACTCATCTTCCGCGCCGCGAGCTCCGCCAATTCCTCTCGTTCCTTCTCGCCTTCTTGAAGTTCGTACCAAGGGACCTCGAGACCACCCGGTTGCACCACGCGACCCGGTTCCTCCACAAGACCCGTTTCGGCCTCTGCATCCGTTTCCCTGTTTCGATCCCTTTCCCTGTTTCGATCAGTTTCTCTGTCACGAAACACGTCTTCCGTTGAGTCATACGGCCTTCCGAACCGCTCCCTGAGGTGGTACTCTTCGATATCGTACGAGTCGTCCGACTCACCGTCGTTTTCGGCATCGCTTTCGCCATCGTCGTCGCCGTCGCCGAAGTCGTCGCTAAAGTCGTCGCCAAAGACGTCGCTAAAGTCGTCATCGTCGCTTCCGTCGTTTTCGTCGGCGTCGCAGCGGGTTAACGCGGCAGCGTGATGCTCCTTAATCCCCCCAACGAACGGAGGATCGGGTCGTGCAATCGTCGCCCAATCGACTTCCGTGCTCGCCTGGCCTGCTGTACCGTTAGCTGGCCTAGACGCCATGGTAGCTCTGGATTGCCTGCCAGCGATGGGAAAGCTGCTCAACCAGGACGCGTTCAGAATTTGTGCAATGCTTGTTCTATACCAGAAAAGACCCTAGGTGTTGTCCGTAAAGGGAAACCCAGTCAGGGGTTCCAGCTAGGAAAGACCCGATCTCCATAGACTGTTATAGGTCTGTCTTACCCGCGATCACACAAGTAGACAGACCTAGAATCAGGGAAAACGAGTCAGGAAGTTCCAGCTGGACTTAGTCTGTCCTACCCGTGACAAGTAATGAAGACAGAGTGGCAGAGACACCTTGGGAATACGCCATGTTGGCAGGATATCTCAAAAAGCGCCAGAGAACTGAACGGTTCAGTTCGGTGCTAAGGGTAAGGGGTTGGTACTGTCAGGCGTCCAGGAGGTGGCAGCGTGTCCCGTCCCAAGATTCTCCGAGCACCTCCGGCTGACACGACGACTCTCTTATCGTTCCCGCTTGTCTTGCAACGCTGATACTGTAGCACGGAGTCTGCAGAAATATTAAACAAGGTCAGAAGAAATTATCGATCAGCGTCGACGAAAGACAGACACCACAGGTTGACGATTCGCGATTTCGCAAATCCCTACAGCGGCTCTGGAAACACAGGTGGTGACTGGCGAAGGAACGAATGATAACTACGGAAGCGTAGTTGGTTATGGTGCGGGTTATTTTGTTTTTGGGTCACCTGTCTGTTTTCGCTTGTCCCAAAAACGGCCTGTCCCAAATTTTGGTGTCGACCAGTGACAAACCAAACTCATCACTCATACTCGCCGAACAGGACCCGGCCTAATCACGCTCATACTCGACCGTTCACATTCATACTCGATTGTGACTGTGCCTTGTTCCTTACAGGAATGCAACCCCTTTTTTCCTTCGTAACACGTTGCTACACTCGGGACATACATCAGCCAGCCAGAGATTCAAATAAGATGCCGAAATGCGATCCATACATGCCTCTGGTTTTCAGGGAAAAATAACAGTATGGATCTTACGATAAGGCTGCAAGGTGGTAGAGATACTCCACTTAGCTATGGTGAAGAAGGCACTTGTCATCAGAAGGAACATAGTGAGCATATGAAGTCAAAACATTTTCAATCTGTTATTAGAAAGACCTCGATAAGGCTCAAATAGAGCCCACCCGCCCGCCCTTTATCAACTACGGCAATCGGACAAGAGACATGTTGGAGCCTTTGGCCGTTTCCCTAGGAATCTGAAGGCGGTTCGTGCGAAGCCTTTCGCCAAGGAAACCTGACCTGGGTAACCTGAAGCCAAGCCTATGTTCTCTGAGACCAAACCAGCATACCACACCTGCCCCCAGCCACCACTTTCCGAGCATGATGGCACCATTACAGGAGAAAACGTGCATATTTTTGCGTAATTCCTCGTCTTCCGTCAGATCTTGTTGACGAATTACGCAACCGAGTTCTTTCGCGAGATAATGTTTTTTCGCAACACTGCCCGAGTAACGTGAGCAGAGGATGTTTTCATGTGGCGGCTTTTCCCGCTCGGCCTGAGAATACACCTGCTTCCCCGAGCCGGCTCCGTGGCAGGGATTTTGGCTCGGAACCTCCCTCGATATCATCCTTTGGACTCCCTGCGTTTGGTTTGGAGACTCTTGGGGTTGCCTTCCGCTGCTCCCCACCCCACCCAACCTTCTATGCGCCATGTGACCTAGTCCCTAGGTTGGAGATAAAGCCGTGGAGTTTAGGAACATGGGATGGGATCTACTCCTACCACAATGTACTAGGTCGTATCGTATGGCTTCTGTGTAAGTCTCGCGTGACTTTTTTGTATGCCCTCACTTTGACGGCATGTTAGGAACCAAATGGAGATTTTCGACAAAGTTTAGAATGTGTTTGGATATTCCCGGCAAGTTTGTAGCTCGGCACACGCGTTGCAGCTGTCCCGCTTTATGCGTTTTCGGAACTACGGAGTTACACGTTTCAGTCAAGACAGCTTCGCTAGTGGCAGCTGATGACACCTACGCCTATACCGTTCTTCCCTGTCACTTGAATTTTGGATATGCGAGCACACCAATTATCTATTAGTCTCTTCGTTTCCTTAGTAACCTAGGGTTTCATTCACCCCCTACGCGGCTTGACGTTCACTAGCTAATTCCGTCCGCATTTCGAAACTAACGACGATGTCGAAGCGGATGGACCCGCGCAGGCAGAGTGTCGGCAGCGGCACCGATCTCCGCCGTTCCAGATCCATCGGAGTATCCTCCCAATCAATGGACTTCAAAAACTTCAATCCCGCCGCTCCCGCCGCGCGCCAGCAACCCGCGCCCCCGCACGGCCGCTTAAACCGGTCCGTCAGTCAGAAAGCTGCCGGTGACGTGACGTTAACGGCGGAGGAGTTGGCTGAGATGGAGCAGGAAATGGTTAAGTCCAAGACAAAGGTCATGGCGTGGTTTACGAAATCGGAGTCGGAAGGTGCGCCAATTAACGCTCCCCCGCCCGCCGCCTCCCCTTTCGAGGAAGTCGGCGGACTTGAAATTCCGCCTATGGGGAAAAAAGGGCTTCCGCCGAGGCGGGGGGACTCGCACGGTCCGCCTCCGCATGGGAAGCCACCCGCGCCGCAGGATTTGCGGAAATGCGCGACGCGGGTGTTTTCGTCGCAGCACGTGCCGGAGTGGATCGGCAAAAGGGACAGCGCGTTTAAGCGGTCGCAATCGTGCCGCGAAATGGGTCAATCAGGAAGCGTTCTTAGATCGCGTTCGATGGAGGGCCCTGGAGTGATGTACAGACCGTCAGGAGCAGGAGGAGCAGGGGGAGCAGGAGGGGCATTAGGAACAGGTTCTCCCTACGACTCTGTAGGGAGGAGGCCAGGAATGCCAGGTGGACCGGGTGGGAATAAAGACCTGGCGAAGGTTCTATCGCGGACGGAGCAAGCGGCGGAGAAGGTAAAGATGCTGCTTAGCCGGCCGCCGGACCGCCGGTTGACGCGGTCACTAAGCGCGATGAAAAAGAACGACCGGGTTAACCTGGGTGGGGGAGGGATGGGGCCGGTCGGGGGGGTGGGGGGAAATTACAGCCCCGGGCACGCGGGCGCGTATGGGTACGCGGGGGAGGGCAGCAGCGGAGGCGGGGGAGGAGGCGGGCGGGGGAGCATGGGCGGAATGGCTGCTGGCCCGCGGGGGGACCTGCACTTGCGCAGGGCGTTTTCGGAAGATAGGCGCGCGCTTAATTCCGCGCCTATGCCCGCTAGGGGCAGCTTTGCGCCGCCTGGTGGAGGTGTGGGCGCGCGGAGGGGGGAGGATCCGCGGCAGCGAATCCTTCCCTCCCGCGGGCTGGGGCAGTCGGGGGACAACAGCCCTAGCCGCTCCCCCGCGCGACCGCTCGGGGGGGCCGCCACGTCAGCGCCGCGTCAGCATTATAGAGACGAAGACGGGCGGGGGAGTCAGGGGTATGATGACTATAGCCGTAGCCCATCCCCCGATAGAAGGGGGAGGGGAGGGGGGAGAGGAGGTGGAAAGGGGGGAAGCAGCAGGCTGAGAAGGAATGGGTATGATGAGGTTGAGAGGGGTAGAGGAGGGTATGATGATGATTCGAGATCTGGGTCTTCTTATGAGGACTACGATGGGGGCAGGAGGAGGAGAGATGATGAGTATGATGCTGGTGGGAGGGGGAGGGATGGTGGTGATGATGGGGGCAGGAGGAGGAGAGGTGATGAGTATGACGATAGGAGGAGGGATGATGATTATGATGGTAGGAGGAGGAGGGGGGATGATGACGATGGGTACGACCCGAGGGGGGCTGGGCGGGATAGGGAGAGAGATGGGGGAAGAGTTGGGGAGAGGGAGAGGGAGAGGGAAGGGGAGAAGGAGTGGGACAGGGGGGAGGGCAGATACGAAAAGGCGGATGGGGAGGAGGAATGGCGGTTGCGAGATGATTGGGAGAGAGGGAACGGGGGAAGAGGGGATGGAGGTAGGGGAAATGGAGGAAGTGGGGTTGTGAGAAGAGGGGATGGGGGAAGAGGGGATGGGGGGAGAGAGGATGAGGGAAGGGGTTTTGGGGGGAGAGGGGACGGGGTTAGGGGTTCGGGGGGAGGGAGTGGAAGGGAGAGGAGGGAGGAGTGGAGGGAGAAAGGGCGAGGAGGGGAAAGGGAGGAGGGCAGAGGAGAGGGGAGGGCTGGTGGGGGTGGGGAAGGGTACAATAGCGAGGGGAGTGGAGAGAGGGAGAGTGACTATGTTGAGAGAGGCAATGTGGAGGGTGATTATAAAGAGCGGGAATTGGGCCGTGATAGGCATGGGGGTGGTGGATATGATGATGGGTATGGGGAGGAGGAGCATAAGTATGTAGAGGATGGAGTGAGGGAGATGGGGAGAGGTGGAGAGGAGATGGGTATGGAGGGAGTGAGGGAGGAGGAGCAGGAGGACGAAGCAGAAGAGGAGGATGAGGGGCAGGGCGCATACGAGGTTGACCCACCGGGGAGGGGAGGTTATGGTTACGGACGTGGCGAAGATTCTGGTTACCACAATGACGTCACTGCTGAGCTGGCACAAGATCCTCATGCGCATCCTGATGACGTGGCAGCCGGCCACCAGGGGCATTATAACGAAGAGAATTATGGTGATGGTGGTGCTTATGGTGGTGGTGATTATCCTGGGGAGCATGGGGGTGTTGATGGGGCATATGATGGGGATGTTTATGGTGAGGATGGGCATGGGCATGCCAATCATGCAATTCACAGTAGACAGAGTAACGAGGATGCTTATATAGGTGCTCAGGATGGTTACCACCAAGAAGGTAACCACCAGGATGGTTACCCGCAGGACGGTTACCAAGAAGACAGTCACCAGCGGGACGGTTACCACCAAGATGCTTATGCTGCTGCTGAGGATAATTATGATGATGATATAGGTGGTTACCACCATAGTAGCCACAACACCACCCCATCAAGACACGCTTCCGCAGCCCATCCTTCTCAATACTCCTCCTCTCCCCACCACCGGTCTGCTAGCTACTCCCCTCAACAACCACCTACAGGTTATCCCCATCAGAGCTCTCCTGGTGTGTCCTCCCCACAGCAGTCGTCTCACCAATCCTTCCACCAGTCACAGTCCACACCCTCGCCCTCCCAACAGAGGCAGCAGCAGCTGGGAATGGCTCGGTCACCTTCGACTCAAGGCCAGAATCTGAGATCCCCCTCGCAGCACCCGCAGCGTGTGTCCTCCTCCCCCAAACATCCCTCCCAGCTCTCACCTTCAAACGACTACCATCAGCAGCAGCAGCAGCAGCACCATCAGCAGCAGCAGCACCACCACCAACACCATCAGGAGCAGCAGCAGCACCATCAGCAGCAGAAAATGCTGCCACAGCAGCAACAGGGCAAAATCTATTCCCCACACACGCAGCACCACAATCAGCACCATCAGCAACAGCATCAGCAGCAACAGCAGCATCCGCAGCATAGCAGGCAGCATACCCATCCCTCTGCCCCAGGCCACACAAGAACCGCCTCCTACAGCAGTGGTAGCCCTGCTGCGGCTGGCTCTCCTGGGTTAGGAGGAGTTGTGAGTGGTGCAGGTGGTAATTGTGCCGGTTCTGGAGGAGGAGGGGCTATGCCAGGTAGATCCTCTTCATCTGCCACTGGGCGCACTCCGATTGGCCACACCCGATCTAACTCCCAGAGCCTACCAATGACAAGAGGACACGTGTCACCTGGGGGAAGAGGCGGGGATGCGGCAGGGGCGGCAATGGCGGTGACGCCGCCGCCCGGCACGTCGCCAGCTGGGCGGTCCAGGTGGCGCAATATCATTGGCCGGCCGCTGGAGAGCTTTGCCGCCCGGTTTGAGCTGACAGGGGAGGTGCTGGGGAAGGGGTATTTCGGAGACGTGGTGGTGTGTGTGGAGAGGGACAGTGGGGAGCATTTCGCGTGTAAAGTCATCAACAAGGCGAATGTGAAGGTGAGCACTGGAGGATTGGCTGCGGTGCAGTGGGGTGCGGTGTGGTGCAGTGCTGTGCTATGGCGTTGGGGGATGCGGTGGTGTGCGTGGAAAGAGAGAGCGGGGAGCAATTCGTGTGCAAAGTGATTGGCCAAGGAATGTGAAGCTATGTAATGGACGGTGGGGTGCGGTGGGGTGCGGTGTGGTGCGGAGGATGCAGAGGACGTGCAGAACGAGGTGGCAGCTGCACCGTTTGTGTGTCTGTGTGTTGAATAAGAAAGCACTGCACTGCCCCTTGTTTCCCTTGTGTGCTCTCCAACCAGACCCTTCCTCACCCTCCCCCTCCCCTGATGCAGAGGACGTGCAGAACGAGGTGGCAGCTGGAGGCGCTGAGAGAGCCACTTTCCCTGGCTGGTATGGTTTGTTGTACCATCATCATGTATTGCCCCTTGCCCGCTTTTCCCCTTCCCCCTCCTCCCCTCTAACTCCTCCCCGCCAGACCCCTGAGGATGCAGAGGACGTGCAGAGCGAGATGCCGGCTCTGGAGGCGCTGATAGAGCCACTTTCCCTGGCTGGTCTGGTTTGTTGTACCATCATGCACTGCCCCTTGCCTGCCTTTCTTTCCCCCTCTAACACCCCCGCGCCAGACCCCTGAGGGCGCACAGGAGGCGCAGAGCAGAACGAGGTGTATTTTGAGGCGCCTCAAAATTCCCCTGAGGGCGCACAGGAGGCGCAGAGCAGAACGAGGTGGCAGCTGGAGGCACTGAGAGGGCACTCTGACTGGCTAGTCTGGTTTGTTGTACCAGCATGCGCTGCCCCTTGCCTGCCTTTCCCCATCAACATCCACACACCAGACTCCAGAGGATGCAGAGGACGTGCAGAGCGAGGTGGCAGCGCTGGAGGCACTGAGAGGGTGGTTTGGTTTGTTGCACAATCATACTCGGCCCCTTGCGTGCCTTTCCTCCATCTGCATCACCCCCATGCCCAGACTCCAGAGGACGCAGAGGACGTGCAGAACGAGGTGGCAGCGCTGGAGGCACTGAGAGGGCACCGGCACATCGTGCAGCTCATAGAGACGGTGGAGGAGCCAGAGGTGGGTGGGTGGGTGGGTCTGCTTATAACGAGTATGACAAGGTGTGTGCGTGGAAAACTGGGCTCTGGAGGCGCTGAGAGGGCACTGGCACATTGTGCAGCTCATAGAGACGGTGGAGGAGCCAGAGGTAAGTGAGGTTGCTTGTAACGAGTACATTAGTGTGTGCTTGGGAAGTTTGGGCTTTGGAGGCGCTGAGGGGCCACTGGCACATCGTCCAGCTCATAGAGACGGCGGAGGAGAGGAGCCAGAGGTTAGTGAGTCTGCTTGTAACGAGTATGACAATGCTGTGTGCTTATAACGAGTGTGTGACTGTGTGCTGGGAGGAAGGTTGGGCGCTGGAGGCATTGAGAGGGCACCGGCACATCGTGCAGCTGATAGTGACAGTGGAGGAGCCAGAGGTAAGTGAGGTTGCTTGTAACGAGTATAATACTGCTGTGTGTAGACTGGGTGAAAGCGCTGAGGGGCTACCGGCACATCGTGCAGCTGATAGTGACAGTGGAGGAGCCAGAGGTCCAGAGGTGCGTGGGTCTGCTTGTAACGAGTATGACAATGCTGTGTGCTGGGAGCGGTGGGTTCTAGAGGGGCTACCGGCAGCATCGTGCAGCTGATAGTGACAGTGGAGGAGCCGGCAACAGAGGCGCTGCTGCAGTGCCAGTCCAATGCAGGGAGTTTTTGAGGCTCCCTGCAACGTGGAGGAGCCAGCAACAGAGGCGCTGCTGCAGTGCCATGCCAGTCCAATGGCGTCATACACCGCGACGTGAAGCTCCATGTGAAGCCCGATAGTTGTGCGTTTGCTCGTATTTTTGAGAATTCTCAAAAAGAAGCCCGATAGTTGCGCGTTTGCTCGTATTTTGGGGCAGCAGAGGTGCTGCTGCACTGCCACTCATGCTTCTTCTCCCTCTCCTCCCCTCCCTTCCCCTTCCGTGCCCCTTCGTCCCCTGCCCCCCACCCCCCCCCCTCATGCAGCTGTGTCAGGGGGGCACACTGCAGCAAGCCATCAGGGACCAAGGGCCGTTCAATGAACCACAGGCAGCAGTGGTGGTGGGGGCAGCAGCAGAGGCGCTGCTGCAGTGCCACTCATGCTCCTACTCTCTCATTTCCCCTCCCCTCTCCCCACCAGTTTAGAGGGTCTATCTGGTGATGCAGCTGTGTCAGGGGGGCACACTGCAGCAAGCCATCAGGGACCAAGGGCTGTTCAATGAACCACAGGCAGCAGCGGTGGTGGCGGCAGCGGCAGAGGCGCTGCTGCAGTGCCACTCCAACGGCACCATTCACCGCGACGTGAAACCCGATAACATCCTGCTCAGTCACCACTTCAACCCTGAATTTGGTCCTCCCATCCCCTCCCCCCAACAATTCAGACGGTCTATCTGGTGATGGAGCTGTGTCAGGGGGGCACACTGCAGCAAGCAGTCAGGGACCAAGGGCCGTTCAACGAGCCGCAGGCAGCAGCGGTGGTGGCGGCAGCAGCAGAGGCGCTGCTGCAGTGCCACTCCAACGGAATCATTCACCGCGACGTGAAGCCCGATAATATCCTGCTCGGGGAGCGTTTGGACGTTTCTGGGGGAGGCTTACCTGGGGACGTGAAGATCTGTGATTTTGGCATCTCCACCTTCTTCCAGCCAGGTGCGTTGGGTTGTGGAGAGGGCATTCGTTCTGGAGAGGAAGGAAGGCCTATTCAGGGGAGGTACACCTGGGGTGGTAGAAATTTGGCGTGCCTGGGGACGTGAAGATCTGCGATTTTGGCATCTCCACCTTCTTCCAGCCAGGTGCGCTGGGATGTTTAGAGCCAACCGTGTTGCCTCTGGTTAGATAGAAGGTGTATTAAGGGGAGGTAGACCTGGGGTGTGTGGGGGGACGTGAAGATCTGTAAAATTGGCATCTCAACCTTCTTTCTACCAGGTGGCTTTGGTTGTTGATTGAGAGAGTCAACCTTGTTACCTCCCTGGTAAAAGAGATGATCGTGCTGCACCTCCCGCTCTCAGGCTACCTCCCTGTGCATCCCTTTGCACCGCTATGCACCTCTGACTACAGGCACGAGCTGCACTGAGATTCTGGGAACGGCCTCCTTCCTTCTTTCCTCTCTCTCCCTGCCGCAAATCGCCCCACTGCACTCCTTTGCACCCCTCTGCACCCATTATCAACCCAACACAGGAACAACATGCAGTGAGATTGTGGGAACGGTCTCTTTCCTCTCCCCTGAAATGCTCGCCCAGACCTACTCCTGCCCCACCGATATCTGGAGCCTGGGCGTGCTGCTGCACCTGCTGCTCTCGGGATTCCTCCCTTTACACCCCTTTACACCCCTTTGCACCCCTTTGCACCGCTCTCCAGCCTCCAGGCACGAGCTGCTCTGAGATAGTGGGAACGGCCTCTTTCCTCTCTCCGGAAATGCTCGCCCAAACCTACTCCTGCCCCACCGATGTCTGGAGCCTGGGCGTGCTGCTGCACCTCCTGCTCTGCTGCTCTCAGGATGCCCCCCTTTCCACCCCGTTGCACCCCTTTTCACCCCTTTGAATTCCTTATTCCAGGCACGAGCTGCTCTGAGATCGTAGGAACGGCCTCGTTCCTCTCTCCGGAAATGCTCGCCCAGACCTACTCCTGCCCCACCGATATCTGGAGCCTGGGCGTGCTGCTGCACCTGCTGCTCTCGGGATTCCTCCCCTTCCGCGCGCCCACCAAAGAGGCCGACTTCGAGGCGATTCCTCCCTTTTGCACCCCTTTTCACCCCTTCGTGTTGCACCGCTTTGCACCTCTTTGAACCCCAAACTTCAGGAACAACATGCAGTGAGATAGTGGGAACGGCCTCTTTCCTCTCCCCTGAAATGCTCGCTCAAACCTACTCTTCTCCGACTGACATTTGGAGTCTCGGAGTCTTGCTGCACCTGCTGCTCTCGGGATTCCTCCCCTTCCGCGCTCCCACCAAAGAGGCCGTTTTTGAAGCGATTCTGGACGGCAGAGTAGATTTCCGGGCGGCGCCGTGGCCGATCGTGTCGCTATCTGCCAAGGACTTGGTGTCGAGGATGCTGACCGTTGATCCGGATGAGAGAAGTACAGCAGAGGAGATTCTCAGTGAGTGGGGGTTGGGGGATGGAGGGGTTGGGCTAGGCGGAAAGTTAGGGGGGTAGTTTTTGGTCGCTGCTGCCAAGTGCTATCTGCCAAGGACTTGGTGTCGAGGATGCTGACTGTTGATCCGGATGAGAGGATCACTGCAGAGGAGATTCTCAGTGAGTGGGGGGAAAGGGGAAGGGGAGGTGATGGGGGGGGGGGGGGGTGTTGGTAGCTATCTGCCAAGGATTTGGTGTCTCGGATGCTGACAGTGGATCTGGATGAGCGAATCACAGCAGAGGAGATTCTCAGTGAGTGGGGAGGGGGGGAAGGTTGGAAGTGGGGGGACGAGGGGGAGTTGTGATGGGGGTATGGGATGGATGTTGCTAGCTAACTAGCTGCTAAGAATTTGGCGTCTAGGATGCTGACCGCTGACCCGGATGAGCGGATCACAACAGAGGAGGTTCTCTGTGAGCGGGGGGGAAGGAGGAGGAAGGGGTGCTGGGCGTGTGGAGGAATGGCATGACGGCACTTGCTGTTCCGTTTTTTCCTCATCAGCTTTTGAGGCGCCTCAAAAGAAGGCACTTGCTGTTCCATATTCCTGATCACCAAAGTTGACACTCTTTTGCCACCCCCCCTCCTCTGCTCTGCCCCCCTAAGTCCATTGCTCTAGGTCACCCTTGTATACTTGACCCGTGAAGACCAACAGATGTGGTGTGGAATGGCATTGTATAACAGGCTATGGCTTCCTGATTGGCAAAGCTAACAACACTCTCTGCCTCGCCCCCTCCTCTGCCCTGCCCCCCTACCATCCACTTGCTCTAGGTCACCCGTGGATACTTGACCCATGAAGACCAACAGATGTGGAATGGCATGGAAACTTAAAAATAAACATCACTGATGGAAAGGCCAGGCATGAAAACCCTGCATGGACGGGAGCTGCCTGTTTGACAAAATTAACATGTAGTTGTTGAACGAACACTACTCTGTATTATGCGTTACATGTTACAAAACCATTGTTGTGTATTTGTAATTTGGGAAACTGAAGAACTTGATCACTATGCAGGCCGTGGTTAGTAAAGAGCACAGGACTGAATATAATGCAAAGAAATATGATATATACGCAACACTGCCCTGTGTAAATTATTCAAGAGGTCTACTTGTCAAAACATACCAGGACTAAGTATAAGTACTTCATGTACAACTGCCTACAGCTACTGTATACTTAAATAGCAAGATGCATATCCAACTGTACAGAAACGATATGAAAGAGTAAATGAACACTACAATATGACGTGCACTTCAGCTACCTTGTTGAACCTGACAAGCCGGCCAAGCGATCTGGTGCGTCCGATCGACCCCTCTTGACGGACGGTGAGGATCGACTTGGGCAAGCGGCTGGGAGATACACCCCTTACAGGTGAAACCCCAGCAGAGGCAGCGCAAGGGGAGGTGGTGGTAGCAGGGGAGGCGGTACCAGTGGAGGTGATACCTGTTGAGGTGGTAACTGGCATTTTGGCAACAGGGGAGGTGGTACCAGGTGGGGGAAACAGGAGAGGCGGGGAGATAGAATGCTCTACTGTAGAAGCTGTTGTGTTGGTAGCGAGGCTGCTTGTACGGAGGATGGAAGCTGCAGATGTCCGGGTGGTGAAGAGAGGGTGTACAGCCAGGGAGGGGAGGGCGCGGCGGGAGCGGATAGTCTCGTGGGGAGGAGAATGGGAATGAGACTGCTGGGGGGGAGAGTGGGAATGGGACTGGTGGGGGGGAGAGTGGGGAGGCTGCTTCCGCTGATGCTGCGAGTGCTGCTGATGCTGTTGCTGCTGCCGCTGATGCTGTTGCTGCTGCCGCTGATGCTGATGGTGCGGTGAGTGATGCTCGTAGCAGTGCTGCTGGGAAGGTTGCTGGTCAGCAGCAGGTGGAGACGCTACAGCCGCTGGTGCTACAGCCGTCCTTACTACAGGTGCACCCTCATAGGGAGACAGTGGGGTGTAGGCAGAGGGCCAAACAGACAAGCTGCTAGGTCTGGTCCTCCTCTGAAATGACTTGTGGGGTAAATTACCCTGCTCCTGCCCCTGCTGCACCTCCCCCACATCCACCTCCCCCTGGTGAGATCCGCTGCTGTTCCGAGCCTGTTGAGCTGCAAGTCCAGCGCGTGCCGAACCTGCAGCAATGTCGCCCAGGTCTACCGAGGTGGTTCGGAGGCCGAGCCTCGATTTTTGCCTCAGAGAGCCGTGTTGCATATAACGGTTGTAATGATTGCTGGTTACCACCCCATCGAGATTGTCAGAGGGCAACTTGTGGAGGGAGGTTCGGCGGGGACTCGGGCAGCAGGAGAGCAACGGTGGAGGCTTGGTAGAAGATGGAGATTGAGATGGGGATGAGGAATTGAAAGTTAAAGATGTTACAGAAGCGTTACTGTAGAATCGTGCTGCTGTAGACTCCATGCGAGACGTAGCTGAGGTTGGGAGACTGCCACGTCGCATGTGCTGGTGTGACGACACAGCAGATTGGTGCGATCGAGGCTGTTGCTCTTCAAGCGAATCTGCCTTCAACGAGTACAAACCGAAAGGGCTGTGCCCATCCAGTTTTGAAATCAAGTTATCGCTAATCACCGAATTTCGCCGAACACCACCATCCACGCTCCCACTCCTCGGAAACCCTAGCGGCCTAGCTTTCCGCGTCGCGTGGAGGCTCCTCGTTGGTTGCGCGTCGGATCTGCACTTTTCACTGAAGTCGCTCGCGGTGCGTGCAGGGACCGGACGTAACCGGTCCTCGGAAAACCGCTGCGATGGCGAATTTGCGAGGGGGTCAGCGAAAGCCTGCGACGAATGGCGGTGTAGTGGTGCTCGTAACGGGGACCTCGCGCGATTAGACTGTAACGGGGATGGCGACGGAGACGGAGAGCGGGACCTGGACTGGGAATTGCGATGGCGGTGCAGGTGTGACTGTAACGGAGGGAGACTTGAACGTGACTGAAGCGAGGGAATGTGTCTAACCGACGGCGACTGACTCGGCGAGCGGGAACTGCTCGCTTGGTGCGGCGACTCGAGCGACTCGAGCGACGGACGTCGCCGTGCGACGGGAGGAGGGAACATCGCGGGGACTCCGCGACAGTTTGATGCGCTGAGCCGGGAATCGCGGCGATTATTGTACGCGCCCAACTCGGGAGGCGCTGACGTGGAATGGAGCCCGAAAATCGCGGCTCGCTCCTCCCGGTTCGACGGGAAACCCGTGTGTCCCATGCACGTCGTTGCCGTAATCATCGTCGCGGTTCCCCCGACCCCCGCGGGCTCCCCCGAAACGTCGCCGCCGCTGCGCGCTGCTTCCGTGCCGCCGGCTGTCCCCTCTCTCCCAATCGCCGCCATTGCCGCAATTTCCGTCACTTCCGGCGGCGTGGAGTTGCTCCTCGCTGGTTGTAACGGCCGTCGAACGGTGCGCGTCGCGCGCAGCTGCGGCACCTCCTCGGCCGCCGTCCCCGCATATGCCTCCGCCTCCGCTTCCGCCTGCGCCTGCGCCTGCGCCCGCTCCTGGACCTCAACCTGCGCCACAGCCCCCGCATTTGTTTCCGCCGCCGTCGCCACCTGCGCGTGCGCGTGCGCCTCCGCGGACGCTGCCTGGTTGGCGGTTCTCTGCTTCGCGGCTTCCAGCTCGCGGAGCTTTCGGATGCCGATGGCGGGTCGCCGCCGCGCGCCCGCTGCTTGCACAATCATCCCGCGCTCACACGCCGCCGCGGGCGCCGGGGTTGGGATGGGAGCGGCGACGCAACCGTCCCGTCGCCGCGCGACAGTGTCGCCGAAGTGTGTCGTTACCGTCGCACAATCGCCGGCGAAGGGTTCGGGAACGACGCAAGTGCCGCGTGGGGGGCCGGAAGAGATGCGCGAATCGCAGGAAACGCGGGAGGCACGGAAGGCGCGACGGTTGGCGGGAAGATTCTGCGGTAGCGAAGCCGCGTTGAAGCCTCCGCCGCTCCAGGACGCAGCGGAGGGATAGCGGTGGCGCGCCGGATTCGCGAACCCGTCGGCGTCGCGTTCGGCGAAGTCGTGGCTGGCGAAACCGGCGTAACTTGGTAACAGAGAGTGCGGAGATGTGTTCTGGAATGCCTCGATGGCTGAATCCTCGGCTTCGAACGAACAATCGTCAAGGGCTGACGGAGACCCGTCAAAAGTTGACAGAGACCAGTCGAACGTTGACGGAGACAAGAAGCAACTAGCGTCGAGAGGCGGCGCGATGAAGCGAGGTTGAGCCGCCGAGCTACAGTGCACATCTGCGGGATTCGCAGCAAGATACGCGGCGGGATGCGCGGCGGGGTAGTAATCGCCGTCAGAGTATTTTGTGGGATGCTGATAGTGCTCTGCTGAGGAGGAGGGGACTCTGTACCTCTTGGGTGACTCGAAGAAACTCTCAGGTGTGCGGATAACTCTCGCAGCCATGGCGTCGCGTCAGACGAGTCACGCTGTAATGGTTTCAGCCTCGATATCTACTAACATGATAACCTGCCGAGTAAATTGTAATCGAAGTGTCACAGACTGGAGAGTGTAATGAATAAGAGTGAGTGTTGTGCAGGGGAATGACGAGTGAATCTACCATTGGCGACTATGTCCGTTTCTCCTATAGCTTGCCGTCGTTCCTGTCACTGGCGTGCTTGAGCTGTTCTGAGCCTGGCCCTTGAGAATAATCGTCTCTACTTGAGAGCTAGGAGTGGGATGGACGAGAAACAGCCTTCGGTGGGGCGGTGTCGGTGGTGGGTGTACTGGTAACAACTGGGAGAGGCTGCCGTGCAGTGTGTCAGCTGCTCTACATATTGAACTGTACATATTCACTGTACACATAACCTCAGCACCAAGATTACAAGCCATAAGTAACGCACTCGTAAGGATGCCTGAACCATATTCCCCTTCCAAGTCCACCTCTCCTCTCTTCATTTCCCAAGGCAAGTCGATGTGCAAGAATCTCCACAGGGCACCGCAATCGCGCAAGTCGCGTTGGCCATTCGAGCCACCACAGGCTGCTCCTGGCTTGCTTGCTCCGGAAAAAAACATCATCGCCGCAAGGTGTTTGGCTGGCTCGCCTCGTGCCTCCTGACTTGGCATTGGCAAGCCAATGGTGCATGGAAAAGAATGGGTGGGAGGGATGGAGAGGACTGTGGGAGGGAGTGAAAAGCTTGTGATTCTCGTATCGCCTGAGATCTTCCTGCCATCTGCAAGGGTACGGGTAGCAAGGTAGCGCCGGAGAGTTGAGGAGGCCTCCTTTTCAAAACTGGGAACACGAAGGAATCAATTCTCCCGAACGCCATCGTGGTGGGTTGGGTCATCCTCAGTGTAATGGTCAGTCCCGCTCCTCGTACGTCATAAAAGGGGCATTAGTATCAGCATAAAGTGGCAACCAACATAATGGCTGCGTTGAACTACTGCCTGATACACATTACACTGGCAATTTACACTGGGCAATCTAAATGCACTGCAGATGCTGTAATTTTGGGGCGGGCCTAAATTTAAGGCGTGTACAAAGTGCTGCTCAAACTCGACGTCGAGGACGTCGGTGAATCGTGACGGTTGGAACCTTTGATCCGAGGGTGGAAATTCACCGACGTTGCTCGACGTCGAGTTTTTGCGCACTTTGCACACGCCATTATCGTGAAACGTAGCCATCTCGTTGACCCACTTCGTTACGGATCCTTCGAGGACGCAGCCGCGGCTAGCGAGAGATTCACTGTTACACCACCACCGCTAGAGAACAGCGCATGAAAGCTGGCGAAGAAAGCTGGCGAGGAAAGGCTGGCAAGCGGATACTGTAGCTGGCACATCCACGCTGCGCTGCACAAGGAAGTTACCTCAAGCCATCCCTGATTCCTGAACCATTTCAGGCGTCAGTAATCCTAGCGAAGAGTCACGCTGGCGACAGACAACCTTCGTAATCCAATAGCATTTGCGCAAAAATGTGAAGCCTCATTGGCTCGCTTCCAACATCCACAACATGAATCTTTTGTCAGCCATAGCACGCTGGGATGGGGGTCAGGGATGGAGCCAGCCTCCACGATGGCTAACACGTAGCAAGATCTTGGTTGGCGACAGGCGAATCCTTATAACCAGCATCGCCTCGTAGATCTCGCTCATAAACGCTGAAACGGCGTCAGGTCGCTTCCTGTGAATGTCTCGTTTTCTCTACACTGATCTCCGTTATGTGACTTCGAGTTGTTTCAAGCTCGGTACACGTTTCTGGAAAGATTTTGAGAATTCTTTACTCTTAATGAGCGGCGAAAAGGTGTGCGGAACGAGGAAATAAAGAGGCTGTGACCAAGTGAACCGACAATACAATGAAGGCAATGCAATATCATAGCAATGAGTGCATCAAGAGATGCCTTGATTTTCATTGCTCGAAAGGTTCTGACTATAATTAATCAAAATCTCACTCACAATCTTAGTTTGTTCTTTCTTAACAATATCGCACAATGCTTGGGAGAATAAAACGTACACCTCAAACTTGGTTCCACTTCACATCTCTCCACCTGCAATCCAACATTACCCCCCCAACCAATCAGCAGCTTTGCACAAGGCGGTACTCCCAAGGCCTCTGGTTCTCCCTGTGAGTGCCGTCTGAGACTCTCAGGGGAGCAAGGGGGGGCTCTTAGGAGGAGGAGGCAGAGCGGCGGCAGGGAGAAGGAGGCAAGTGAGCTGAGCAGCTCGATGGGCTGTGTTGGCCCATGCACAGTGACCTGTGGAGAGGGAGAGGGGTGGAGGGAGATGGCAAAGGGGGGGATCTTAGCAGGAGGAGGCAGAGCGGTGCCAGGGAGAAGGAGGTGAGTGAACTGCGGAGTTCGATGGGCTGTGTTGGCCCATGCACAGTGACCTGTGGAAGGGGAGTGGGTGAAGGGACGAGGGAAGAGGCGAGGTGAACCAACACCGCTTCACCAGCACTCACCTTCACCAGCGCTCACCAACAATGCATGAACAATCCACTGCCGCTCACCAACAATGCATGAACAATCCACTGCCGCTCACCAGCAATGCTCTCGCCACCTGCACTGCACTGCACTGCACTGCACTGAACTGCATCCTCCCACGATTGTCCTTCTAGTGGTTGCTTTCCCCCTGCTTTCCCTCCACCGGCAGGGCCCTTCCCACTGCATCCCTCACTGTTTTTGAGACGTCTCAAAGCCACGTGTAAACAGAAGTGTTTTGAGACGTCTCAAAACACTTCTGTTTACTCGAGACGTCTCAAAGCAGGGCTCTTCCCACTGCATCCCTCACTGTTTCCCTCAGCCCTGTTGCCAACAAACCATCTTAGACGGCACTGGTTCATGCTATACACTCACCTTCACCAGCACTCACCTTCACCAGCACTCACCTTCAATACAGGAACAATCTTCTGCCGGTCAGCAGCAAATTGCAAGTCAGCAAACGATGCTCCAATCACCCGCACCCCTAACTGTGCCCCCCAAAATGCCCCCCCACCATGCTTCCACTCCCACTACCTTTCCTCCTCCCACTGCTCCCCCTCCCACTGTTCTTCTTCCAGTATACTCAAGCCTTCTCACCTTCAATACAGGAACAATCTCGTTCCGGTCGGCAGCCAATTGCAGGTCAGCAAACGATGCTCTGGTCACCCGCACCCCCCGCTGTGCCCTCTCCACTGCTTCCTCCCACGATTGCCCTTCCTGTGCTCTCCCCCCCCACTGCTTTCCCTTCCACTGCATCATCTTCCCATGCTTGCAAGACGCTACATTCACCACACTCACCTTCAATAAAGGAACAATCTCCCCTGCAACCACTTGCATGAACTCAAATCCACTCACCTTCAATACAGGAACAATCTCCTGCCAGTCAGCAGCCAATTGCAGGTCAGCAAACGATGCTCTGGTCACCCGCACTCCTGGCTGTGTCTTCTCCACTGCTTCTTCCCACGATTGCCCGTCTTGTGCTTGCTCTCCCTCCGCTCCCCCCTCTGCTCCTCCCGCTGCTCCCACTGCTCCTCCTGCTCCGGCTTTCCCTGTCGACGATCCTGCTTGCAGCGCCGTGTATTTCAAGTGAAGGATGCGACTGATGCGATGGGGAAAGGAGAAGAAGGGAAGGGAGAAAGAGAGAGTGAGAAAATCGCAACAGCTGCGACTGCTACTGTTCCTGCTTGCAGCGTCGTGTATTCCAAGTGAAGGATGCGACTGATGCGATGGGGAGGGGAGAAGAAGGGAAGAGAGAAAGAAAGAGAGAGTCAGGGAATCGCAAGTTCTGCAAGTGCTGCTGATCCTGCTTGCAGCGCCGTGTATTCCAGGTGAGGGATGTGACTAATGCGATGGGAAGGGGAGAGGAAGGGAAGAGAGAAAGAGAGAGTGCGAAAATTGCAAGAGCTGCGTCTGCTACTGTTGCTGCTTGCAGCGCCGTGTATTCCAAGTGAGGGATGCGACTGATGCGTTGGGAAGGGGAGGGTGGGTGGGTAGGAGAAATGCAGATTGAGAGAACCAAACACTCTTGAGGACTAGGTTCTGCCGCTGTTGCTGCTTGCAGCGCCGTGTATTCCAAGAGAAGGATGCGACTGATGCGATGGGGAGGGGAGGTTGGGTGTGGAAAGGAGAGAAACACTCGCTTTGCAAGTGCTGCAAGTAATTCTGCTCCTGATTGCAGCGCCGTGTATTCCACGTGAAAGATGCGACTGATGCAAATGGGAGGGGGGAAGAAGGGAAAAGAAAAGAAGGGAAAAGAAAAGTAGGGAGATGAGGATTAGTGGCAATCAAACATCCAGGGTCAGAGCAGACCGGATTTGCATCTGCTGCTCCTGCTTGGAATGCCGCGTATCCCACGTGAAGAATGCGACTGATGCGAAAAAATAAGAAATGAGACAAGAAGAAGGGACGAGAGAAGAAGGGAAGAGAACAGAAGAGAGATGAGATTTAGTGGAGATCTAACATCTAAACCTAACATCTAAATCTAACATCTAAGGTCAAAGCAGGCCGTTTTTGCATCTGCTGCTCCCGCCTTCTGAGCCGTGAATTCCAAGTGAGGGATGCGGCTGATGGGATGGGGAGGGGAGAAGGGGGGAAAACAGAGGGAAAAGACGGGGAAGGAGTCTTGTGGGGCGGCACCCAGGCTGGGAGTAACGAGAGCGAGAGAAAGAGCGAGAGAAAGAGCAGGGGAATTAGACGCAGCAGGAGAGAGGGGAGATGGAGGATGGGGAATGGGGTAGGTTAACGCAGCGAAGGCACACCTTCCAGGGGGAAACAGAGGGGAGAAATACTGGTAAGGAGTCTTGTGGGATGGCAAGTTGGCTGGGAGCAGTGAGTCGTGTTTTGGTTCGACTCAAAACACGACAGAGGGGAGACGGGGAAGGAGTCTTGTGGGGCGGCAAGTTGGCTGGGAGCAGTGAGTCGTGTTGTGGTTCGACTCAAAACACGACAGAGGGGAGACGGGGAAGGAGTCTTGTGGGGCGGCAAGTTGGCTGGGAGCAGTGAGTCGTGTTTTGGTTCGACTCAAAACACGACAGAGGGGAGACGGGGAAGGAGTCTTGTGGGGCGGCAAGTTGGCTGGGAGCAGTGAGTCGTGTTTTGGTTCGACTCAAAACACGACAGAGGGGAGACGGGGAAGGAGTCTTGTGGGGCGGCACGTAGGCTGGGAGCAGCGAGAGGGCGAGAGAGTTGGAAGAGCTTCGACTGCAATGAACAGGAGAATGGGGAGATGAGCGAGGAGGAATGGGGCAGGGGAAAACGGCGGATGCAGACCTTTCGGGAGAAAACAGAAAGGGGAAGATGGGGAGGGAGTCTTGTGGGGTTTTGAGACGTCTCAAAACCCTTCTTCAATCACGGAGAAAACAGAAAGGGGAAGATGGGGAGGGAGTCTTGTGGGGCGGTAAGTAGGCTGGGAGCAGTGAGTGGGCAGAGAGTTGGAGGAGCATCGACCGCAATCAACAGGAGAATGGGGAGATGAGCGAGGGGGAATGGGGCAGGAGGAAGCAGCAAAGACATACCCTTTGGCGGAGAGGAGAGGGGAGAAGAGTGGGAAGGAGTCGTGTGGGGCGCTGAGCACGCTGGGAGCACCGAGAGCAGAGCGGACAGAGAGGGCGAGAGGGGGGCTTTCTTACCTAGGAGGAGGGAAGGAGAGCTGACCTTGTGGGGGAGAGCAGAGGGGAGAAGAGTGGGAAGGAGTCGTGTGGGACGCCGAGCACAGTGGGAGCACCAAGAGCAGAGCGGACGCAGAGGGCGAGAGGCGAGGGGGCGTCCCAGTTGGATACAGTCGCTCTCATCTGTGATAGAGAGGGGTTGTGAGGTGTGGAGGGCGGTGATGGGGGGAGGAGAGGGGTGACGGGGGGTGGAAAGAGGTAACTGGAGCTGGCGAGTGGTGATGGGGAGTGGGTGGAAGGGAGAGCAGCACGCAAGCATGTTGGCAGCACCAAGAGCAGAGCGGACGCAGAGGGAGAGAGACGAGCGGGCGTCCTAGTTGGATACAGTCGCTCTCATCTGCGATGGAGGGGTGATGGTGTGTGGGGAGCGGTAGTGGTGGGTAGAGAGGGGTGATGAGGTATTGGGTGTGATGTAAGGCAGAGCATCAAGCAAGAAGGCGGGGAGCACACAAGACGAGATGGAAGCTAATATACCATAGCCTCCAAATGAACAATCTCTATAAGAACAATCGCTATAATCACCTCTTCCACATAATCACCTCCACACATTCTTTATAATCAATCACCTTTCTCAGATTCTCTATCATTTATTGCTCTACAGCCAACTTTCCCAAGAATCGACTGCACATCTCAACTCCCCCCTCTCATCTGATTTTCACTCAAACAACTATCACACACTACCTACCTTACTCACTCTACCTTAGTCACTCTATCATACTACCTACCTTAGTCACTCTATCACACAACCTACCTTAGTCACTCAATAACAATACTTGTTGTCACCTTTGTTATCACACTCGTTATAATCACCTTTTCCAGGAACCGAGTGCATGTGTCAATTTCCCCCACTCTCCTTCTGATCCTTCTCTGCCTCGCTGCCAGCTCATCTCCCACCGTTCGTCGGAAAATCTCCTCCCAATCCGACGGCCACGATCCATCCGTGCTCGACCGCCCCTTCCCTTTCCCCTTCCCACCCGGACAGAAGGCGACTCCTGATTGGACGGGACCCAACCACTTGTCAGATGATGGTGACGTGACATTCAGAATGGCTTCTACCTGATCGGGGGAGGAATGGATTGAGAGTGAGGGTGAGAGTGAGGGTGAGAGTGAGGGTGAGAGTGAGGGTGAGAGTGAGGCAGCGCGAGAGCGAGAGCGAGAGCGAGAGAAAGAGAGAGCAGAGCCAATCATTGACTGCTGGTGCTGCTGCTAAAGCCACGTGGCAGCAAGCCACTGGCTCCTTCCCTTGGCCCCTTTGAGAGGCACAGACGCGTTGATGGAGACAGTGATGACTTTTGAGGCGCCTCAAAAGTCGCCGTTGAGAGGCACAGACGCGTTAATGGAGACGGTGATGCTGCTGCAGGCAACTGCCTGGTTACCACCCCTGTTACCAGCACTACAATATTTACCCCTTACTCCTGCCTCACCTCTTTGCCCTGGGCACACGGGTGGCAGGGCTGGCACTTGGCTCCATTCAGAGGCACAGACGCGTTGATTGACACTGTGATGCTGCTGCAGGCGCCTGTCTGTATGCCCGTCTGGTTACCATCCCCTTCCATCTCACCTCTGTTCCCTCAGCGCAGGGGTGGCAGGGTTGGCATTTCGCCCCGTTGAGAGGCACAGACACGTTGATAGAGACGGTGATGCTGCTGCAGGCAACTGTCTCTCTGGTTACCAGCACTACGCTACCCTACCTACCCTGTCCTCCCATCCCATCTCACCTCTTTCCCCTCAGCGCAGGGGTGGCAGGGCTGGCACTTGGCTCCGTTCAGAGGCACAGACGCGTTGATGGAGACGGTGATGCTGCTGCAGGCGTCAGGGAAGGCCCTCCGGGAGAGCACACAGAAGGGCAGGCTGGCAGGCTGCACTGATATGTCCCGCGACTTGAGCTGCAGCTTGAAGGTTATCTCGCTGTTCATCTGCCTGGCAGTGAGTGAGGCAGTGGGCAAGGAGAGGAGAGGCGTCAGGGAAGGTTGCGGAATTTGAGCTGCAGCTTGAATGTGACCTCGCTGTATCTGCCTGGCAGTGAGGGACGGGGAGGGACGGGGAGGGACGGGGAGGGACGGGGAGGGGGTAGTTTTGAGAATTCTCAAAACTAATCTCAAACAAAAGGGACGGGGAGGGACGGGGAGGGGGTAAGGGCAGAAGAGAAGGGCCAGGCGTCAGGGAAGGCCCGGCGGGAGAGCACACAGAGGGGCAGGCTGGCTGGCTGCACTGCTATGCCCCGCGACTTGAGCTGCAGCTTGAATGTCACCTCGCTGTTCATCTGCCTGCCCGGGAGGGAGGGACGGGGAGAGGGGAAGGGTGGGAGCAGGGAGAGAATTATTGCTATAGGTAGGGTGGAAGGTTGCAGGTTGCAGGTAGGAGTTTTTGCCTCTGTCTGGAAACTTCACTCAGTGGTGTTACATGGTAACCACATCACCCATCACACTCACTGTGCGACTCCAATCCTCTGCCTGTATCTGTTGACTTCATCCATCCCCTGGTGTTACATAGTTACCATATAATGATGATATAACCAAGCACACTCACCGTCTGATGCCAATTCCTTGCCTGTATCTGTTGACTTCATCCAGCATTGCTAGTCGCAACAGCACCACAACACTCTCTTTCCCATTACCACTGCTTCTTACAGTCACATCACCTCATAAGCACATCAACATATAACCCCACACCATTGAAGTCTCAGCTTGCTTGATTACCGTTTGACGCCAATCCGCTGCCTGTATCTGTTGACTTCATCCAGCATCGCCAGTCGTGACAGCGCCACCACACTCTCCTCCCTCCTCCCAAATCCAAACCGGTCATTCACGCCGCCCCAGTTCGACCCATATGGGACAACGTATGCCGCCCTCTCCCCCATGCTTTCGCCCTCTTTCCCCTCTGCTACTCCTCCTCCTGCTCCCCCTTCCCTCCTCTCCGCCCCCTTTCCCGTCCAGCCAATGAAGGACGAAAGCGGGGGCGCCGGCGCCGACCAATAACCATCAAGCCGCGTGCGCAGCACCCACCGGTACGGCTGGCCGGCGCGGTTTGTATTTTCCTCACGTTCTATGAGCGGCAAACAGCCCTCAATCAACCTGAAATACTGCAGAATCCCCTGAACCCCGTTCGGAGATCCCCAGGGGAGGATGATAATAGACCCGGGATAGAGTGATGCGTCTACAGGCACAACTGGGAACACCCGCACTCCCTTTATAGCACCAGCCATTTTCCCTGCTGCGCCCTGCTGCTCGTTATTGTCACTTCTGCTGCTGTCATCCCTTCTGTCCGTGCTGCTGCTGCTGCTGCTGCTGCTGCTGCTGCTGCTGGTTGTAGCATGATCCCCGTGCATGGCATGTGCGCGAGCAAGGGCTGAGATCTTCGCAGCGTTTTCATCCAACGGTGCGTGGATGAAGAGGTCGAATGGCAGCAGGGAGGGCAGCAGGTGGTGTGTGATGGTGGGCCCTGTGGCGTCTAAGTCCCGCGCGCCCCCCACCAGACACACTGCTAGGGCGGGGAGGGAGGGCTGGGGAAGGGTGGAAAGGAGTGGAGAGAGATGGAAGGGGATGTGGGTTAAGGGCAGCAGGGAAGGCAGCAGGTGGTGTATGATGGTGGGGCCTGTGGCGTCCTAGTCCCGCGCGCCCCCCACCAGACACACTGCCAAGGAGGGAAGGGAGGGCTGGGGAAAGGATAATGCGGGGGGGGAAGAGCGGGAGGGGGGGAACGGAGTGGGGAGAGATGGAAGGGGATGTCGGTTGAGAGCAGCAGCGACGGCAGCAAGGGGGTGTGCGATGGTGGGGCCTGTCGCGTCCAAGTCCCGCGCAGCAGGGAGCAGCAGCAGGGAGGGCAGCAGGGAGGGCAGCAGGGAGGGCAGCAGGTGGTGTGTGATGGTGGGGCCTGTCGCGTCCAAGTCCCGCGCGCCCCCCACCAGACACACTGCCGGGGAGGGGAGGGAGGGCTGGGAAATGGAAGAAAGAAGGGGAGAATTGGGACAGCAAGTGGAGAGGGAGAGGTGAGGGATGAAGGAGCAGCAGCGAGAGCAGCAGGGAGGGCAGCAGGGAGGGCAGCAGGGAGGGCAGCAGGGAGGGCAGCAGGGAGGGCAGCAGGTGATGCATGATGGTGGGACCTGTGGCGTCTAAGTCCCGCGCGCCCCCCACCAGACACACTGCTAGGGCGGGGAGGGAGGGCTGGGGAAGGGTGGAAAGGAGTGGAGAGAGATGGAAGGGGATGTGGATTGAGAGCAGCAGCGAGGGCAGCAAGGGGGTGTGCGATGGTGGGGCCCGTGGCGTCTAAGTCCCGCGCGCCGCCCACCAGACACACTGCCAGGGCGGGGAGGGAGGGCTGGGGAAGGGTGGAAAGCCGTGGAGAAGGGTGAAAGGGGATGTGGGTTGAGGGCAGCAGGGCAGCAGGTGATGCATGATGGTGGGACCTGTGGCGTCTAAGTCCCGCGCGCCCCCCACCAGACACACTGCCAGTGCGGGGAGGGAGGGCTGGGGAAGGGGAGAATGCGAAGGACACGTTGACAGGAGGTAGAAGAGAGGGCAATTTGTACGGCCTGTGGCGTCTAAGTCCCGAGCGACCCCCATCAGACAGTTGCCAGGGAGGGGAGCGAAGGCTGGGGAAAGGGGAGAAGCGAGGAAGCAAAGTGGGGAGGAAGAGGAGAGGGGTGAACGAGCAACAGAGACGACAGCAAAGCGGGCAGCAGGGAGGGCAGCAGGTGGTGTAATGAGGGAAGCGTACTAGGAGCGGGGAGCGAAGAAGCGTGACGACGTACATCATAATTGGATGTTGCTCCTGACCCTTCAGATTGTGACCGCGTCCCTTCTCCTCCGCTATTGTCGCCGACATTCCCGCTACTACTGCTGCTGCTAGATTCTCCAGAACCAACAGGATCCGCGCTGTCCCCGATGAAGGCAGCCTCGTTTCTGCTCTTCGCGACTGCAGTGCCAGCTCGTTTCGAGCTACAAAAGAAACAGATCTGATCAGAGAAACGCCATGCGGACGTGCAAGCGGCAAGGACGAGCAAAACGACAAGGAGTGCCACCCGCCTCCGTTCCGTGCGAGTCAACCTCGGGTAGGCCATCGGTCCTGGCGTTTGCTACATACGAGAATCCGAGAATTGCTACATAGTGAGAGAGCTACGTCAGAGAATGGCTGTATCGGACCGATAGCTAAAGCATCGGGCTGCCATTCTAGTAACTCGTTGGCGTCGCGTGAAACTGCTGGAAGCGGCTCTGCTAACAAGAAGGAAACTGAACGACGCAAGCGCTTATGGTGCGTAAAAAGAAAGCCTCAACTACACATCCACGCTATAACAGGTCTGGTCCTGTCGGAACGATTGATAAATTGAAGAAAGCAAGAGCTGGTTGGATGGGTGGTTGGCTGGATGGTCGGCTGGAGGCGAGAAATCCAGCAGCAGGGGAAGAAGTGGATGGAGCCTAAGGTCAAAATCCCCGCTGTGGGCAGACTCGTCACGGATAGAACCCGACGACACGATTGGCGGAAAGGGAACGCGTCTTGTCTTGAGCGGGTGTTTTTGCTGGGCATGCGATGTTGGCCTGGAACTCGGTGATTGGCCTACGAGTGCCACACACACCGCGCGCAATGATCAAGATGGACACGAACCAGATGCTGTGCTGGTTCTACCGATGTTCCTGACAGCACTTAATTCTGAATGGCTCGCGAACATCATGTCTATGGTAACATTGCGCTGAGTATTGGACGCACTCCTCCCCCACAACTCTTCTGCATTTTGGCGTCTTTTCTACCCACCCTGCCCCAAATACGCCTACCCAATCGGCATCAGGGAGAACACAAAAACGTGGATCAAAATGCAGATACAACACCCAAATAATAACTTTGCTATAGGTCACATACAAGTGATAAGTATCTGTTGCTAAAGACTGTACATGTTACGAGTGCAATTGAGTGAACGAACGAGAATTGCACTATCGAAGCAAGAGTACAATGAGCGGAGGCATGAGCGAAGAATATATAGCGAAACTACAGTGGTAACGGTAATGGACTGTGGTTGTCGCTCGACGGGCCTAGGACTGAGGTTGGGAAAAGTGTCGAAGCAGAGGCCCGGAGCGCGGGTTACCCGCCGAGCCGTGAGGTCGGGGTGTGATGTGCGAAGGTGGCGGGCGGATTGTCGATGCGAGTGTTGCGAGTGGTAACGGTGCTGACTGTGGTGCTACAGTGATGTACGCGTTGAGCAAGGATGCGAAGTAAGGAAAAGGAATTTTCCTTACACTACCCCCCCCCTAAAGGAGGTCCTCCTTACGAAAGTGCGTGTACATCCCTGAAATTTCGGCTGCGCAGATACTCGGTGAGGACGGGGTGGTTTTCGATTCTGTCTAGGGGAACCCAATTGTCTTAGGTGGGTGTACGGTCCATCAGCGGAGTAAGAACTCGATCCTTCGGGCTCCTCGAGGGTCGCGAACTCTGTGACTCAGGATTTTCTCGGGGGTGATGATTGGTTCAGTTGGTGGTCTTGTCATGCTGGCTGGGCGATTGCGTGGCAATTGGCTCGTGGACGGGACGTAAGGGCGAAGTAGGCTGACGTGGAATGAGGGGCTGACGTACCAGTCAGCAGGGAGGAGGAGATGGGCGGTGACGGGTGTAAGCATGTGGCTTATGCGAAATGGCTCGCAGTATCGGGGGCGGAGTTTCGGGGTGATGGGCAGTCGGAGGTTCTGAGTGTCAAGTAAAACTAAGTCGTCGGGCTGGTAAGTGACAGGTCTGCGGTGGCGGTCGGCGTTGCGTTTAGCGATGATGTTCGATTTTATTATTGCGTCTGCTGCCCGGGTCCGTGCCGCTTGTAATATTTCGGCGAACTGTTGTGCTCGTGGTACTGGGTTGTCGGGGTTCAGGGTCATGGGTACTGTCGGGTCTTGTCCGTAGTTTAGGTAAAATGGTGACTGTTGGGTCGTGGCGGATGGCTAGTTGTTGTACGCGAATTCGATTAGTGGCAGTTGCTGTTCCCACGTGGTCGGGTCGTCACACGTGGCCCTGATGAGTTGTTCCATGATCTGATTTGTCCGTTCTGTCTGTCCGTCAGTTTCGGGGTGGTATGATGAACTGAACTGCAGTCGCGTGCCGAACTGCTGCCACAGGTTCCGCCAGAAGTTGCTGGTGAATTTCGTGTCGCGGTCGCTGATGATCGCGGCTGGTATCCCGTGCAGTCGAACGACGGTGGAGATGAAGAGGCGTGCTGTTTCTTCGGCTGTGATTGATTTTTTGCAGGCTGCGAAATGTGCCATTTTCGTCAGTCGATCGACGACGACTAGGATCGCGTCGTTCCCACTCGCCCCGGTTGGTAACCCCGCGACGAAGTCCATCGTCACCTGTGTGAAAGAACGAGGAATGTGTGCACTAGGAAACAGGTGGGTACAAGTAGGAAAACCTAAAAGTGTTGTACCCCATATTGTCTACCCCACTACAGCCTACACAGACTATAGCATATAAGTTTGACACACCCCCATAGGCAAAGTGGGGGAGAACAAGAGGTCACAAGACCAGTCAAGCAAAGCACAGTAAGCTCAGGGTGGATCACAATGTCACCACACATTCCGAGCACAAGTTCAAGACCACAAGGTCAGTTCGCATGCAAGATCATATATAAAGGCAAACAAGCAAGTGCAGGTATAGATAGATCACAGTACAAGAAAGGTCAAGAAGTGAGCAAGTGAGGCCAAGTAGGCACAAGACCTTGTCAAACATTATACATGTTCATATTGTGTAGGCTATAGTGGGTTTAGCCTTAGGGGGTACAACATTGCTAGGGTTTCCTACTTGTATCACCCTGCTGCCTAGTTCTCACACATTCTCGTTCAGTTCTACATTCTAACATGGTATCACGAGCCTAGGTTGCTACCTAGGACCGCTTTCTCCTACGGGCCCACTATTCCGCTAGACGCGCCCTCGTGCGTCCTACCTTACGTGCGCCCTCGTGCGCCTTTCTATACTCGTGCGCCCTCGTGCGCCCTCGTGCGCCCTACCTTACGTGCGCCCTCGTGCGCCCCCGTGCGACCCGCCCTTCGGTCTGCCCGCGTGCCGTCCTGCAGCCCTCGCGCTGCCTCCTGCAAGCTAGTACAACCCTCGAGCCGCCCCTGCAGGTCCGTCAGGCCCCCGAGCCGCCTCTGCAGACCCGTCAGGCCCCCCCGAGCCGCCTCTGCAGGCCCGTCAGGCCCGAGAGCCGCCCCTGCAGCCAGCGCGCTGCCCTGCCGAGCCGCGTGTCGCCCGTGGGCGCTGCCTCTGCCCCGTCGCGCTGCCCTGGGGAGCCGCGCGCGACCCCCGCTGTCCCGTCGCGTCGCCCTGGGGAGCCGCGCTCGGCCCCCGCTGCCCTGTCGCGACGCCCTGGGGAGCCGCGCTCGGCCCCCGCTGCCCTGTCGCGACGTCCTGGGGAGCCGCGCTCGGCCCCCGCTGACCCGTCGCGACGCCCTAGGGAGCCACGCGCGACCCCCCCCGCTGCCCCGTCGCGACGCCCTGGGGAGCCGCGCGCGCCCCCCCCCCCCCCCCCCGCTGCCCCGTCGCGGCGCCCTGGGGAGCCACGCGCCGCCCCCCCCCCCCCCCCCTCGCTGCTGCCCGAGCCACCCTGCAGCCCGCGAGCCGCCTCTGCAGCGCCGAGTGCGCTCTGCCAAACCCTAAAATAAATAATTAATTATTAAAAAAAAAAAAAAAAGGGAGCAGCTGCCCCTGGCCCCTGGAGCAGCCGCCCCTGGAGCAGCCGCCCCTGCAGCAGCCGCCCCTGCAGCAGCTGCCCCTGCAGCAGCCGCCCCTGGACCTCTGCAGCCGCCCCTGGCCCCTGCAGCTGCCGCGGAGCCCTCGCCCTGCAGTGGTAGCGGCCTCGCCGTTACCACCGTCGTACGCCTGCCCTTCTCGCCACTGGTGAGCACTGCCCTGCCCGTATTGCTGTTACTGCTGCTCCTGCTGCTACTGCTCTTTCTACTTCTACTGCTGCTCCTGGCGTGGCCAGATGCAGCTCCAGCGCCGTCCGCGTGAGTCCCTCACGCCCCAACAGCTTCGTGAGTGGTATGCTGGTTGGGGTTGTAGGGGTGGCCGCGCTGCTGCTACTACTACTGCTGCTACTATTGCTACTGCTGCTCCTGGCGGTGGCCAGATGCAGCTCCCGTGACGTCCGAGTGAGTCCCTCACGCCCCAGCAGCTTCGTGAGTGGTACGCTCAGCGTGGAGGGTCACGGGGTACTGCTCGCTGCCCGTACGTCATTCGCACTGGTGCTCGGACTGGTCAGCCTTGCGGGACGTTTGGTCACACAGAGTCCCGCTGCGTCGCCCGTCTGAGCGACGCCTGGCGTACAGAGTTTGGCGACGCGGCTGAGCTCCCCGACTGGGTGGAGCTGCTTAGGCAGAGGGTAGATATCTATGCTCTTGACTATGATGCTATCCTCACTGCCATGTATGCATTTCCTACTAGTGCTGAGAGTGCCTGTCACCTGTGTGTGCCACCTGACCCCGATATCCAGTCTGCTGCTCTAGGTACTGGTGAGGCTGCTGCACTAGGTGCTCGTGTGTCTGTTGCCCCAGGTGCTGGTGAGGCTGCTGCTCTAGGTACTCGTGAGTCTGCGCCCTCTGGTACTGCGTCTACTGAGGCACTGCACACCTTCACACTGGACTCAGGCGCTTCCCGCTGTTTCTTTCGTGACCGCACTGCCCTTGAGCAGCTTGCTCGGCCGGTTGCAGTCTCCCTCGCTGACCCCTCTGGGGGTCCGGTCATTGCGACCTCCTCTACTGTTCTCCCTTGTCCTGCGGTCCCGTCGG